TGGCGGACTTGGTTCTATAGTAGGTCTTAAAGGGTTAAATAAATATCGTCAAATAATCGAGATCTCAATTCCAGTGAAAATAATCGTGATTATCATTTTTGCCATAATCGAGCAGCCCTAGCAAGTACTCAGATCCAAGTATCGGTATCGTATCGGTTTGCAAAAATTGGTATCGTTGCATCCCTACCTCCTGATCATTCTTAAGTTTTTAACCACAACCACAGCTGAACTGTGAACACCACAACTCTGGAATATAAACTGCTTCTTGTTGAGTTGTTTCTGCATGAAGAGCGCAGAACGCTACACAAGCTCAAGATTATGGACTATGTTAAATTATAAAAATGTGTTTAAGGTCATCAGTGGTCATTAGTAACTGCAGTCTTTGGGATCATCATGAATTAATTTTTTCTTCAGGGCAGCTGGGATAAGTGATGGATGAAGAATTTTACTGCAGTCATGGAAATCCTAACCAGTGAGGCGTAGAGCAGGTACACAGCACGTAAATATAAGAAAATAAGATGCTTTTATTTTTTTATACATTATTGGACAGATTTACTAAGTGAGGCCAATTATTATAATGTCATAATGCACTATAATCTATATAGAAACATGAAGTCAGTTCTGCCAAGAAAATTTCATCTCCTCATCCTCCCTCTGAGGATGAGGAGCACTCAGGCCTGCAAACAAAAAATAATTCGGTGTAAGGTGAAGTTTCACGCAAGTGTTTCTCTTTGAAAATGGTGAAAAGAGACGAGGATGAAAGAAAATCAATATTGTTTTTCTATAAGAAGTCTTTTGATAGAAAGAGCCAAACACTGTGCAAAGGGTTCTGAGGATTAGGACTCAGACTGGTAGAAACCTGAAGTCTGAGAGGAACAGCTGACAAACACACCACACAACATTATATTCTGTCAGATATATCAAATCTAATCTTCTGTTGTCACTTTCAGGCTGTGTATTCATGCACTCAACAAACATCTGCATTAACAGAAACATACATAGCTCCGGTACTCACAGGGAAAGGCTCTGCACCCTCTTGGATAACGAAGCCTTCTATGAGATGGGTGAGGATGTGAGACTTGACTATGGCCTGGGCAGGTTTACTCTCTCCATTGTTTTGGGTGCTGTTAGTGTTCCCATTCCCAGAGGTCATGACTGGAGCACAGGGCACCCCTCACCTGTCAACAGGAGCAACATGACAAACTCAACAAGTGCTCGCCATGTGGACGAAGTCTCACATTATTTGGAAGAGACAATTAAATGTTACTCAGTGTCTCTGGCAAAGCTCACCGCCTTGATATAACACTGATTATGAAAAGTGTTAATTTTAATCTTTCAGCAACACTTTTGGATCCTGAATCCCTTACAGCAGCTGTTTTTTCAGTCATGTAAACTTTGGTTCTTTTGCAAACTTCTTGCACTAATCTGAGTTTTAACTCATGCTGATATAAAGACGGGATCCACTGTGTCCCGGTCCGATTTGAGCGTATATATGTGCCTTAACTGAATCTGAATTTCCAGATTTAAGAATGGCGTGAGTCACTCTTACAAAGGGGGACCTCAGTTAGGCTAACGTGGGGTTGTACGTGCGCGGTTGCTGTGGAAACCGACGATTTAATAAGCACCAAAAAAAAAAAAATGAAAGAAAGAACCGTGGAATCACGCTGCCATATATATGCATGTGATCTGGATAACGTTAACACTATAGGTTGTGTGACTTTGAACGGTAAGAACGCAGAGTGTTAGTTTTCCAAACTCGCTAACGAAAACAAAACAAGGAGTTTGGCTCAAATTTAAACCGCACACATTACATTTAAGCGAAAGACCCGTGTGAACCAAATATACCTGTAAATACTATTATATATACATATATATATATATGCAGTGTTGCGTAAACTTACAGCTAGCTTTGAATCAAATCAGTTTAGCCAGGCGGACACTTGGACCTGCTGGTTGCGTAATGGATAAAAGTAGCGCATTCAAACGCACCTTTTCTTCTCCTTAAAAAAAGACATTAAAGATGAGTTCACTTACTTTTACGGTTCGAGACCGCCTCTGGATCGGAGGGATACCAGCCGTCCCAGTCCGTAACAATAGTAGAGGGAAGAAAAGCTCTTTGTTCAACGGCTCCAAACAACGCTTTCATATACTGATTACACTCCCTCCGTGAAAACGACAAGGAGTCCGACCCGGGAATCTTTACCGGGCAGCGGGCCCACCGCGTTACACGAGGACGCGGAAAGTTAGCGACCCTACCATAACCGCACTATGTTTCACCATTCTCCTTCTTTCTGCACACAATACTATACACTTGGAGTGTGTGTTCATTTCTCAAGCCAAATAAAGTTACATAAAGCACTTCCGGCAAGCGCTTTCAAAATTAAAAGCCACAACCAAGAGGAAAAAGAGCTGTGCAAATATGTGCGCTTCGATTCCTGAATCTAAACTCAAATTTCCATATATCTCTTCGGAAAACATGAACTTCTTTCTTTACATCTAATTGAAAGAAATGTTTTCGAGTGAGATGACAAATATATCTATATTTTTTAAATGTATAAAATGCAGTGAAACCACTGCAAAACACAAAAGTCTGGGTAGTGAACTTATTGGACCAATGAAACGTTTCAGTCAGTTTAGTCCGTTTTGTTTATATCGCCCCACAGCAACAGCCATCAGTCCCACTGGTTGGCTGAGGAAAAGACAGGAAAAAGAGGAGAATAGAAAGACAAGACAAACAACAACAAGAGTGAATGGCATACGATTCTAAAGGAACAAAAGGGTGAACGGGATTATATGAGTATAGCATTTAATTAGAGTTAATCCGAGACCGTGCAGAGTGGGACGTGCAGATCAGCCTGTGGACACGGTTCAGTTCAGCTTCCAGATGTAAAATATCTGGCTGTAATCAGCCAGATATTTTCAGGCTGATTAACATTAGGGGAATTTACGCTGTATGAATAACTGTGACCTGCTGCAGAGATTTACAGTTTCATAGAAAATATGATTCTGTATCCCAAACATTATATTTTAGAAATAGATCGAAAGACTTGTGCCAGGTTAACCATGGCCATGTTATTAAATCAAATTTGAATAATTATTACCAATAAAACATCAAATAGTTGGCAGGAAAACCACGACTTCCTGTCCACCGAGATCACTTTCATAATAAAAGCGCTGGAGCCTGTGCCATCGAAGAGACATGCAGCTTTAGTCGTGCCCCGCCGCTCGGGAGAGAGGCTGCGTACTACATCCCGCACAGGCCGGCGATCACAGAGCTACGAAAGGCAGAAACAGCTTTTACGGTAAAACTAACCTAATGTGTGTTTTGGATTAAATGCGTTTTATTTGAATGAATACATTTATTTTTTTATCAGTATTTAACTTTTTTAAGGCCACAAATTAAGTGGACAATACTGTTGACTTGCGCTGACTTCTATCAGCTTCTATCAGATGCGGTGAATCAAATAACAGCAGCTCCAGCACAAGTCTCATGACGTCCTTGGACTTGATGAAAAAACAGTGTTTTGCATCTGGGACGCTGTCCTCAGCTTCTCTCAAAAGAAGGTTCATAAAGAACAGCAGAGTCGCTCCGGGGAGGCAACACGATGCGGGCAGCGAGTGTCAGCTGTGCAGGTGAGACAGAAAGTTAGGACACACCGAGAAAACCCCCCAAACACAGGCAGACATTTGGAATATATGGTTCTTTTAAAATTAAATAAATAAATACATTTTCCACATTTGCTGTAGATTCTGCTGACTGATTACTTGACAGATTGCAGTTAGGGCATGTTTATGTTGTCTTCATAATAATGACTATTTGGATAAGTTTGCATCTTATTTAGCGGAAAACAAGAGTTTGCTTAGTTTTTTTGCACTAAACAAAGAATATGAAGAGATTATCAGCTTTATTCACAGCACATCTAAATATTGGTGGACCTCTACACTCAACAACATTAAAGTTAAGGTTTATGTGTTCTGTCCTATAAGATATAACTGTTTTGCACTGAGAAACTGCGACATCACACCAAGTAATTAAAAACTCGGTGAAAGTCAAAAAAGTGACAACAAAAAGAAAAGTAATGTGGAAGTTGTGGAGGGATTTGGTCTGAGGCTTCCTACTAACGAGCTGGCAGTGTAGGTTGGCTAAAAAGGCTGAAGGGAGGTGCCTGGTGTACCTCATAAAGAGGCTTTCACTTAATTAAATCTACAAAATGCCACTCAGCACTATTCATTTGATAAAGTTAATAAATTCACAACCACAAGTTATATCGTCATGATAAAATAATAAAAACAAAAACTGAAGTAGCTCGTCTCCAGGCTTGTGTTCAGGTCAGGTGAATGACCTGAACACAAGCTTTTCAGATCATTCCCCTGCTTTTCTCTGCTTTTCTCTGAAAATCCATGATCAAGTTATAATAGGACTATACTGGGCACTCAAATTGGTCCAGACCAAAGAGTACACAGGAAGAAGGCAAATCTTCACTTTTCACTAGAATTTTTCTAATTTCTCCGATTCTACATTCTGTTAATTAATCTATTCCTGTCCTCCCTCACTTAAATAGGGAGGTGTTTTTAGGACTTTGTTTTAACATTATAAATAATTCAAGATCCATAAGACATACGCCTGACAGAAGTAAAAGCAGCCATCTCACCACAGAGTCAAATGATTTGGGGCAAGAATTGTGTCCCTATATCAGTACTTGAGAAATAATAATAATAATATTTGACAATAGCACATAATAGGATCTATTGTTTTGTAACGATTCTACCACTAAATATAACAGTAATAAAGAATGTATCTGTACAATAACATATAGTGAGATTATTCCCACTAATATTAAAAATACCCAACAACAACATGTTGTATGATGTGTTGCAACAGTCCCAGCAAAATACATTTTTTTAAAAAAAGGACTAAAACCCAGTAAAACGTCTGGTAGTGATGTCCTTTGGAATATTTGTAATGCAAATAATATGCACTTGCATATTCACCTGACAAATAACATGGCCTGCTATGAGCTGTGTGGTTCAATTCTTGTTTTTTTTAATGTGTCACTTAGCACTAATTCGCATGTGTGCCAGCATAGTGGGCGCAATAACATTAAAGCTTAAAAATACAGAGTCTAGAAACCAGTATTTGTCTAAAAGGAACAAAAACAGTGCCTGTAATTAGCATTTAGACAGTACTTAGCATTGGATAGTTAGTCTGAAGCACATTAAACAAACTGTATTCTTCTTTTGCAGATGTTCCATATTTTCCCATTCAGGCAGCAACCAGACTGTTCGTCGGATTCTGACAGCCTGCCTCCTCTCTTTCATGGCCCTGCTCGGATCTGTATTCATCGACGTCAACTCCAACTTTGACTTGCTGTACACTACAGAAGCAGCTTACAGCGAGCTGACTTCATGCAAGACTCTAACTCTCCTGCAACTTGTCAGTAAACTTCAAAAGACGAGACATTTATTTTCCAAAAAAGTAGGGAATGAGACAGCTGAGGCAAGTTTTCCTAAGATGCTTTTTCTCGTCTTTGATAATCACTGTGACAAACTGGTGGGTCGAAGTAATGACATCGGGATTCCTTGCAGTACTGAGTTTCCTAGCTTTTGCAAAGAGCTAGTGAGGAGCATTCAAGGATTTTTAAATACTTCACAGGATACAAACATTACCAGTGAAAGTGGAATTCTTGCTTTCTCACTGGCTATTGAAAGACTTCTTGACGTCTGGTGTACAGTAGAAGATACTTTGGTAAAGGCCAAACAGAATTCTAATTGGAGAGATGTACTGTCTGCAAGACTGTTGGTCACATTTATTGAGCTCAACCACCAGTTGAGAGACTTTGGCCACATGCAAACTCCTACTGGCTTCCAGTTTAGATGGTCATACATTCTGAGCTACCTCAGCTTTGCCAGGGTTTTGACAGAGAAACTGAATGACTGTTGGCTAGAAAACATAGACCACGAGATAAACACTACGCTGGATGTTCAGCATTCCTATATTTTTGACACAAGTCAATGGCAGATCTCTGGCACAAGTACGGAACGTCTGTCTGGGTCTCACACTGGAATTCAAGCTCTGACAAACACTCAGCAGTGTTTATTTGATCGTGCAGTGTTGGCTCTCAGGGCGGGCTCTCGATCCATCTCTTCAGGCCTCAGTATGAGGATATGCCTGCTGGCCATGGCATGTCTTATCTACCCTGTGGTGATGTTCTCTTTCAAACAGATGACAGAGTGGATACAGAACTATGCCCACAGTCTGAAGGAGAAAACACAAGACCTTAAGCACCAGAGGCAGCTGGCTGAAGATCTGCTTCACCAAATGCTGCCAAAGTCAGTTGCCAAACAGCTCCGCCAGCATAAACATGTTGAAGCTGAGAGCTACGAAAAGGTTGGTGCAAGAGGTAGCTATGACTATACCAGGTTATACAGTGAAGGATTGCTGGTGTTTAAATCCCCCTTCAAACCTGATTGGACTAATGGACCAGCCTTCCTTGCCTGTCATTGGAAACAAATTATACACCAGAACAGTTTCAAAATAAATTCTCCATTAGAAACTGTTTATGCAGTCAGGTTTTATTGTATCTTGTGTCATTTTAATTTGTACATTTTCTAATGAAATAAAAGAAAAGTTAGAAATGTGCAACAGGAAAAACACAAAATAAGAAAATTAATCTGCAGAAATGAGGTAGGCTTTGTGTCTGAATCTTTAGTAGCTTTATAATTAGAAGAATCTGATTCTGAAAACCCCTAAATTTAAATTCATCTCTGTGCTTGTCCTGCTAGACCTCAGTGCAGCGTTCAATACTGTTGACCATAATATCCTATTAGAGCGATTAGAACATGCTGTAGGTATTACAGGTACTGCGCTGCAGTAGTTTGTATCATATCTATCTAATAGACTCCAGTTTGTTCATATAAATGGAGAGTCCTCTTGAGAGGAAAGAGATTTTATATCTCTAAGAGTAATCTTTTACTAGTTTACAAAGATTGATGAAAAACAAAGCCTCTAGTATGGGCTCATTTCAACTTTTATTCCTCTGATGATGCAAAAACCTAAAATCTTAAATGCAAGTTGCAAGTTTCGCAAAGAAAGGGAAGACAACAACCTTTACCTTATACAATTGCCATTTGCTTTGATCATTTAACCAAACAAATCCAGAGCATATGCGGCTGTGAGAGCTGTGGGATGTTGCTGCGAGGGGGTTACTTCTGGAAGATCTGCAAACACACATACACAATGAATGTGTGTGTGTTTGCTGCCTTTGTTGCTATTGTTAGCATAATTGTCTATAATTGCCCTGTTGCATATTCATTGGAAGATAAAACATCGTATGAGTGAAAATTGCATCTGGCTTTTTGAAGAGATTTGAAGCAGCTGTAGCAAAAAAGCCCTCTGAACAGGGCTGTGGGGCGATTACAGAATATGGCTTGATAGGGTAAATTTTAAACAAATTTCAAGTTCTAGAGTATTCTAGGAGGAAAATGTTATACCCCTTATTAATTTGTTTCAAACTAAATGAAAACGGAGAACACTTCAACTGAGAACAGGATAGAGATACCAAAATAAAATATAAAGCCCTCTATGATATAGGACATAAGCTGTAATACCGCTTGTGGGCTAACCATGGGAAAAATCCTAGACTTTGAGCTGCAAGCTGACACATTGTACTCAGATGACAAAAAGTCAGATATGAAAAAGACAAAGTGAGAGGTACTTGAAAATGTAACTCTGATATTTCAAGATATTATTACTGACTTTCTATATAAAGGACCATTGTTCAGGCTACAGGGGGGGCCCAGTGCCAAAACTGAAGGGTAGTATAAATAATTATCTCATCTTTTCTTTACAATCACCTACAAACTGCCTTGTTTTTGTTAGCTAAATGGACTGGGTCTTATATGTTGCATTTCTACTCTGAGCATTTTGTACAACGTGCCTCCTTCCTTAGTGACATCCTCTATGTAGCCGGTGTATCGGAAAAACTCATGAGAGTCTTCTCCAAGCACAACATCCCAGTGTACTTCAGACCCAGCAACACACTCACACAAAAACTGGTTCATCCAAAAGAAAAACTCCTAAACACAAACTTAACAATGTGGTGTATGCTGTACAGTGTACCGAGGAATGCTCAGACCTCTACATTGGAGAGACCAAACAGCCACTTCATAAACGCATGGCACAACACAGAAGAGCCACCTCCACGGGACAAGACTTGGTGGTCCATCTGCATCTAAAGGTCAAAGGTCACTCTTTCGAGGATGCCAATGTTCACATATTGGACAGAGAAGACAGATGGTTTGAAAAAGGAGTGAAAGAAGCCATTTGACAGTATGTCCACTGTGAGCGACCATCTTTGAACAGAGGCAGTGGTTTACGACACCAACTGTCTGCCATCTATAATCCAGTTTTGAGATCCCTTCCCAGACGCCTTAACGCCCACTCACACCCTGGGCCATCTGACCTCAGGAAATCACATGATAGGGTGGGGCTGGGTTTCACAATGAGCTCACCCGAAACCGTGGCTGATTGTGACCCACACCTGTTTTCACACCTCGGCTCGTATGCTTAGGTAGAGAATCATAGGGTATCCATTGTCCCTCTTGAGGAGACACTCCCACGGTGCTTAAATCTGGGACTCCCCACCATTTGACCCTAGAACTGAAAAAGCTTCTCGGATGAGAGGTGAAACGTCTTCAAGCAACCTAAAGAAGTCCAGACGCTTTTCTTTCCAAGCTCCTTATAGTACGATGACCTGGATGGGTCTTCTTCTGTTATGCTGGCTCCCCTAGGCATTTGCGTTTTGAAAAGTGAAAGGTATATTTAGTGAGTTTGAATTTGTAAACTTATGGCTAAATGCCTATAAATCCTATGCACTGATCCTTTAAAAAAAACAAACATCAAAGATTAAACTATCACTTGCTAGACATTTGGCATTTGCTTTCAGATAGCATGGTGGTGTGGTGGCACTGGTGCCTCATACTATAAGCTCCAGGGTTTGAATGCAGCCTGGGCCTTTCTGTGTGGGGATTGGCGGTTCTCTCTGGGTACTCCAGCTTCGTCTTATCTGTCTCTTATAAAAGACATGTATGTCGTTATGTTAATTGGTGATTCTAAATCGACTGTAGGTGTGTGGGTTTTTGTATATGTTTCATACTGCCATGTCCTCTATATAATGTTAAAAAAGAGGATTTTTAATGTCTTCAAGTGCATTTTCTTAAGCTATTGCCATAACAGTACCTTTATTTTAAAAATCAATGTCTTAGAGTCATATCCAGAATTTGCTGGAGAAAGACTGTAATTTTGCCTCCACACAACCCCACAGTGGATTTTAAATCAAAAAGTCAAGATGTGATGTAATTGAACCCAGGTAGGGGGATGGCCACAAGCCAGTGTAGTCCTAATGCCAGCCACAAGCCCAGATGCCCCTGTTTGAGTTTTTGCCAAATCAAACATGCACATCATCAACATTTCCGTACCCGACCGGTCAGGGCCTCGGTTGTGATATTGTTGGCTAGACAAAACTAGAGGTGAATGCATGTTCAGAACCGGTGAGAGAGAATGAAAGGCATGGAAGTGAATTAAAATGTCCTCGCCGGTTGACCTGCCCGTTGTGTCCATGTGCTTTGTTTTGTCTCGGCTCCCTTCCCGGTTCTCTATTTCCCTGTTTGTGTGTTTCTGTGTTTTGATGTGTGTGTTTCCGGAAGTCCAGTTTCAAGTGTCATTTGACCGGGAAGTATTCCCAGGCTGAAGTCGGCCACACTTGCTGCTCATCAGCCCTCGCCAGCTGGAGCTGATTGGAGCTGTCACTTCAGGCAGATTTTTTGGATCGCCATAAGAAAATGCTGCAGCATATCTCAAAGGAACAGAATGTGCTCCTCCAGGTTGTTACCAAACTGAAATGTATGTTTCAACCTCACCATGGCAGAAAATGTTCCACCCTCTCTGCCTTCCTGCTGCCTGTCCTCTACCTCCCCTTCACCCTTTCCTTGGGAGCATCCGCTGCTGGTGTCGGAAAAAATATTGACAGAGTTGGATAAAAGTGCAGGTTTTCTCATGCAATGTGCTTTTCAGACAGCAGAGTCAAGCCTATGCTTCAGACTGTGCCAAGGTTTCATTTGTGGTGGAACTGGTGATGGGGCGAGCGCTGAAATGAGCACAAGCAGTACCAAGGACTCACCCAGAGATCTCATATTAGAATTAGAATTAGAATTCAACTTTATTGTCATTGCACATGCACAGGTACAGGGCAACGAAATGCAGTTTGCATCCATCCAGAAGTGCTTTAGTGATATAGATATATTACAATATATATTAGCAATAATA